CATATCCAAAATTTTTTAGGATGACAAATAATTCAATTCGGTTCAAATAGTCTAAACCAAATGCCCAACCTTAATTACTATTTACTATTTTCTTTTTGGTAGAATACATAAATTTATAGGCATCTGCTTGCTTGACATCTTATGACTATAGTATAAGATCTCATTATACTCTCTCATCGATTTCATAATAATAAGTCATCTTTACCATAAAAAAAAAAAAAAAATTTTAAGTCATCTATTTTTTTCAATCGTAAGATTTAGAGTTACTTTTTTCCCAATTTAACCTTCTTAATACCCCTTGAGTTTAATTCTCAATTTTACCACCAAAATATTTCCTTAATTCTAAAGCTTAATATAGATTAATCGTAAAAACATAAATTATTTTAAAATATAAAAATTCTTAATAGGTGGAAAAACTTAGATAAGATTATTATGGGACAGATAGAATAAGAAACACGGTATAAACAACCTTTAAAATATTTTTACATATATTTCAATTTTCAAGATTAAGTCTCCCCTAAATGATCTTAATGGTACAGGTTCCACGTCCCAAGAAGAATCAACGAGCCCATATATGTCTGGTATCTTGTAACTAGCGTCTGGATTACACCAGCCCATAATGATGAGGCCCATAAATTAAAGAGCCCATGATAATGATAAACGGCTATTAAACGCAGCATTAATTCGAAGCCCAAATTAAATCAGAGCCCACTTCTAATGAGGCCCCAAAAATACTAGGTTTTTAAAATGCCCAAATTTAATCCATCTGATAAAAGCTCAACTAGTAATTAAAAGCATAGCTTATCTCCTTTTCTTTTCTTTTCTTTTTTTCCTTTTTCTTTTTCTTTTTTCTTTTTTTGATGAGAAAGCATGGCATAACTTTAGAAAAGGTAAGAGCTTTGTTTGTTATTATAATTTTTTTTTTTTGTTTAATTTTTAGGCTGTGTATTGGATTATCATGTAGTATTGTAGCTGTGATTTTTTTTCTATTATTATTGTACTGTTGTGAAAATTTTATTAGTATTTAATAATTATTTTAAAAACTGTTTACATTTATATACTTAATAATTTGTATAATATACAAAATATTAGTATTAATTAAAATTAATTTAATTATAACGTCATAATACTTTTACCAATATGCAATGGGGTGGCGCTATTATGATAACATTTTTGTCTCACCTTTTTATACAATTTTCATATGCTATTAAATGAATGGATGCAATCAATATCATGGGTCTCATATAAATTAAAAAAATCAATCATTTTAATGACACATCAAGTTGTACAAATATCAGTTCCCTAAGCAATGTAATAATATACAGTGTGGGAACGCAATTAAATCTAAATTTTTTTAGAATAATTAATTGATTGTTTGATTGTTTGAACGCAATTAAATCTCCATTTTAGATATGAGTGTAATGTTTTTATATTTTTTTTATAAAAAAAAAAAGGATTTTTTATTAAGTTATTTGGCTTCTTGCAATCTGAAAAGTAATGTGAAAGATTAATAAGGCTAGGAATTGTAAATTTATAAATTTTAAATATTTTTCATTATATAAGGGGAAGGTGAGTGCTTACCTTGGCACATTATCTAAAGCAATGGGGAAGGGGACTAACTAAACCTCCGTAGTTAAATATTTTCCAACTTGAATCTAATTTATAAAAATATTACTTCATATGAAGGGCTGGCTACCAGAAATTGGTTTTATAAACCATGAGACAAATAATCCAAAGCATTTCAAGGTAATTAACCAACCAATTGCCCTTAAAGCTTTCAAATTTTCCTTCAATTTCACATTCTTCATCTTGTAACCTCTCCCAAATCTTCAGTTTTCTCCTTTAACTTTCATAAAATCTAGAAATTTGTATGAGGCCTGGATTTGCCTATTACAAACCTGACATCAAGTATCAAAACTTGCAATATTTTTGTTTTACAATTTGAATTATATTAAATTATAAAATAAGAGTTATTAAATAAGGAAAAAATCTCAATATCAGAAGATCTACCCATTCAATGGTGTTATGATTGTGTATTAATTGATATAGTTTAGATTGCACAATATTTTTTTTAAGAATATAAATAAAAAATAATTAATATAATTTTTGATTAAACATAATTTTTGGCACTTATTTAATTTAATTATTAAAATATAATCTAAATATAGTTGATACAATCCATTAATT